ATTCAACTGATTCAAGATCACTAGTGACTTTTCTTTTTCACTCTGGTTACTTAAGTATTAGAAGCTGTAAAATGATAGCGAATAATCGTACAGAGTACACTTTGGGCTTCAGCAATCTTGAACTTAAAATAAATTTTGAAACCCGTTTTACCTTCAGTTTAACAGGCCTGAGGCGAAGAGAAAGGGACGATGTAGTAAAATCAATGGTACGGAACCTAGGTAAACATGAATGGAAACCTTTCATTTTTAATCTGGAATCTTTCCTAAGCCGCATCCCATACCAACTCAACGTAAATCAGAGGAAGAATATCGAAGCTCTTTTCCATGTTACTTTGTATTTAATCTTTTTATTATGCGCCGATCAGTCATTGTATCAGACCCAGCCGTTAATGGAAGTTCCAACGAACAAAGGACGCGCAGACATTGTAGTTACCATAGAAAGTACAACGTTCATATTTGAACCAAAAATGGAGAATAATCCGGAGAATCCAGTGTATGAGTGTAAAGTGAAATACCTTCATGCACATCTATCCAATTACGATTATGTGGTTTGCTTTGGCTTAAAATTTATTTCCTCAGGACGCATTCACTCTTGGGGCATAGCCAATTTTTCGAAAGAAGGTAAGCTGCTTGAAGAAGATGGAGATATATCGCTTACTACAAAATTTGACGCTCGGGAAAAAGAGAATATAACCAACCAACTTAAGGATTTCAAAATGAAACATCCGAGTTTTACGCTTCAACCAGAAAAACTTTTCGAATTTCTCGAACAGTTGGGACCAACAATTATTGATGAAGGTTTATTTGCCCAAAAGTTCACAACGGATATCGAAACTCTTTGTACTTTTTTAAACATAAATAACAACTTGTTCGAACCAAACCTTAAAAGCGCAATAAAGTCATTTGTGAAGCGGAACTCTCCATAAAAAGGTCCAAAGGGATAATCAAAAACCTCAGAAAAATAACAATCCTTTACCGGAAAAATTAGTTTATGTAAAAAAGGTGTGTCCTTGTCATTAGGGAAGTTGTTCAAAAAAAGCCTGTCCTTTATACAGGGTGTACCAAAAGTCCGTCCCACCCCTGCTAACTTTTGAACGAATTGAGCTAGGAAAATGAAACTTTGGGAATGCTCCTATCTCAAAGGGGACCATCTTTTGGGGGGGTCACAATTTTGGTCGACCCCTCAGGGGGGACGGGGCCCCCCAACTTTTTTTTTTCAAATAGCAACCCCTATCTTGTGATACCTCATTCGAGAGAACATACAAACTTAAGAATTTTGGGGCAAACCGCACATCAATATCTTAATTTTTGACCGAGTTATGATAGGTCAATGGTCAAATTTGACCTATTTTCAAAAAATCATAACTCCGGTTCAAAGTATCGTAAAGAAAAAATAAAACGGGAATATTTACCAAATTGTGTCTGCTTTTAAGTAAAAATTGCAGTAATCACTTCGATTTGATTTTAAGGGGGGATTCGGACCCCCAAATACGTCAATTCAAAGGTGATTCGATTTTCCCGCCAAATAAGCCGATTTCCCCTAGATTTGCCTCCTTATTATCTCAGTAAGGTCAAAATCAGTTCAACAGTACGTTGGTAAGTCCCCAAATGTTGGGAAAAGTTAAAAAAAAAACGAAATTTAAACGGTCAAATTTAATCACCTTAAATTTCGTTTTTTTTTTAACTTTTCCCAAAATTTGGGGACTTGCCAACGTACTGTTGAACTGATTTTGACCTTACTGAGATAATAATGGAGGCAAATCTAGGGGAAATCGGCTTATTTGGCGGGAAAATCGAATGACCTTTGAATTGACGTATTTGGGGGTCCGAATCCCCCCTTAAAATCAAATCGAAGTGATTACTGCAATTTTTACTTAAAAGCGGACACAATTTGGTAAATATTCCCGTTTTATTTTTTCTTTACGATACTTTGAACCGGAGTTATGATTTTTTGAAAATAGGTCAAATTTGACCTTTGACCTATCATAACTTCGTCAAAAATTAAGATATTGATGGAAAAATAGCAAGTAAGGATAAAGGACTTTATGCAATTGCAAACATTAAAAATAATGATCTTTTTGAGGCAAAATACGAAAAAAGGTTAAAAGATGTGGAGGGAGGGATCAGCGGCGCGCTCTATCCGTAAAAGTGAAAAATTGGGATTTCAAATCTCTGACGAATAACGTTCAAATGGTTTTAAACAATATCACGAGCAGTCAAAACCCAGGCCATAATGCTCAGAGATGGAAAGTGAAATTCTTAAAGCTCGAATAGATTTCACAAAAGTTGAAATTTATTAATTTTTTTTAGAATTATTTATTGAACCTTTGAAGGTCTGAGAGTGTTTCAGATGGTCTTTCTGTTGATGCTGCGGTGTTATGCTACTCTACTGAAGGTGCCAGACACAAAGAGGGGGCAAAAAGGGGAGTTTAGAGAGAAAAACCCCAACCTAACCTCTAAACTAAACGAAAACATTTTCAACGCGCAAATGTTTTATGGCTTGGGGTAAAAAATTTCAAAATTTAGAATCGCTGTTTCTAGAAGTTTCTTAGCCTCCCGGCCTGAATATATCCCCAGAAGTTTCAATATATTTCATGAAATTTCGTGAAATTTCATTCGAATAAATTTCATGAAATTTTCCATCTCTGTGCATACATGGGTCAAAACAACTACGGTGCCCCCCTTGGAATAAGATGTGGTCACTGCGGACGCTTGAACCACGACCAATCACCCTGGACCCTCCATCCAGACCTCCGCCCTAGCGCTAGGTTTCTATTCATCCTGGAACATGGACGACAAAACTTAGTACCGGATGACGTCACGAAAACTTTGGTAAAAGGTCAAGAAAATGTATTTCCGGACTGTTTGGACTGTGCAAGAAACAAGCGTGAAATTTTCATTAATCAAGCAGTAAGTGAAGGTTTGGAGCTGAATTTTATTGAAAGTGTAAACAATCCGCACGAGGAAAGTTTCTCTAGTTTTCGGGGCTTTGACGAAGCAAAACAAAAAACCGCGACTTGGGAGATAAACGAGGTAATTCGATCACTATGTGACGCGTACGAGTGTTTTCAAAACAACGACGCGCCTCATGAACTTGACTCAGGTCAAGACGCGAAAATCTCAAAACTCGGGCAAACACTCGACCAAATAAACACTCAAACGTCGCGCAAAGTCGAAAGTATTGAGAACCTGGGCATACATATCAATCCAAAACTATCGCCGGAACAAAAGCGAGAAATGGAAACCGTCGTGCTTGAGTTTGAGGAGATGTTTTTGACAAAGGAAGAAAATGTTGGGTCTAATGCATCTTTGAGCAGTGTTTCAGATACCTCCACGGAAATTGGCACAAACGAAGGGAGTGTCGAGCCCGTTACGGTGCATGTCTCCATGGAGACCCTGACACGTTCAGGATTTGCAAATCTGAGGAGAAACCAGCAGCATGTGAAACTCAGGAAGGATATGTTCACAATATTCAAATTTTCCCTAAGGAATTTGTAAGTTCTGTTGTAAAAAATGGTAATAATGGTCATTTTGATCAGCAAGATACTGGAATAGAGGCATCAAAACGCTTGCATCAAAATTATCTTCTTGGAGGAGATTGCCTCCCAAGGATTGGAGATTTAGGAGGGAATTCGATCCTGCATGGGGGATAGTATCAATTGGATAGCATTTTGCAATTCGGAACTATAGGCAGAACGGTAGGTTTTCAGGAGAGCAACTTTTGCAAAAACCATTGGCGTTTTTCATCAAAACGATCAATGTTGCGGTTTGATGGTTCATTTTATAGCTATGGAGTTCCTTTAACACCCTGTGTTGACAGATTCGTCAAAAACATCACACTGTTGCCAATAATTACAAAAAAAGGCTATAGTTCCTTATTGCAAAATGAAGAATCCGGGGAAGCTCATTTTGCAATTAGGAACTATAGATTGTTTTAGCACTGACTGCATAGGGGAGACGACCCTGGTGTCACTATTACAAA